AGCAGCTTGCATATGCTCAAGAAATCATCAGTGCAACTCAAAATTCGAGCTCCGACCAAAGGCCAGTTTAGCCTTTTAACGTCGACTTCTGAAGAACTGGATTTGTGTCTACTAGTGCACAGTTTCCTCTGGGCACTCCACAGTTCACGACAGTTTTTGTTCATCACTGTGGTCAAATTTGACCACTTACCTAAATGACAACTCTCAATCGTTAGTCAAAATGTGATTCGAGTAGACAACCCGATTTACAGAGGTTAGACGCAAAAACGTGGAGCTATCCGGTAGCACGACGCGGTTAAGCTCTAAGTCCGATAAAGCATCGAGAGTCTCCATAATTCTATGACAAAGGTCATCAGGAATGGTCAGCAAAAATGTTGGTAACCCGACGATAACCTTCACATAACTACAGTATTTTTAAGTTGGTTGACCTGCATTTTTTTCACCTATATTCTCGCTGGTTATAGGCGGAAACCGTATCTATTGACTGGAGTCTATTGCAGGATAAGGTTGACAGCAGGAAAGAGACCACTTTGGCCAGCCGTCTTTCGGATATAAACTCAGCTGAATATTATCCACGAAATGGTCATCGATGGGAGCCTTCAGGTCTCCAGATGACCCGTTTTCACCAATCGTTCTTAGATGACCCGTACAATAATGACGAATGGGCTCGTACTGCATAGTCCTGAAGTAACTGTTGTCGAAGATTCTCTTCCGGTAACGTGAATCATTGGGGTCTCCTTGTAGCATAGCTATGCGTTCGGCGCAACTGACAACTTTCGACATGTAATTGAACCGAAGTTGTGTAAAGCAGTAGGTTAGTTTCCGCAAGCGATTCTCATGCCTGGACGGGGAGGACAACACTGAAAGAATTCTCGTATCAAGCGATTTTTGGTTAACTGAAAGAATTCTCGTATCAAGCGATTTCTTGGTTAAGGCCATCCGCTAAAATCATCAGGAAATTATACTTCTTGAGATTAGTAGAGTGCTATTCCTACTTACTTCACGATTCTCCTATGGTACTGGGAGCCTGTGAACCGAAGCGTTTAAGGTGTGACCAGTCAACCTCAACGAACCAGACAGAATAGAGTGGTGCAGTTGCAATCAACAACGAACACGTTAAAGAGAAATACGGAAGGTGTCAGCAGTAACCTGTTTTTGCTTACGCGCCTTGCTGTATGCAGCAAGGAAGCTGACATGGTTGATGAAATCACGTGACTGCCAATGTGTCACGAGACTATTTGTAAATGTGTCTTATTTATGGTTTTTTAAGGACTGGGATACTGCCATGACGCCCAGACCTAGAGAGAAGAATGATTAGGGTCCTCAATCACAGCTTTCGACCCAAAAGCCTAACCGCAAGGCAGCGGTGGTTGGTGTAAAACCGTCGGAACACCCTGAGGAGCAAGTCGATACATATGTTCCAGCTCCCAACCTGGAGGACCGAAAAACTGTTAATCAGAGCTCCACCGATCGACCAGCCTGCTGTTGAGTGGCTATGAGTGTCACATATACACTCTCCAGTGTCAAGCAGTGGGTTGTAGAGTTGGGCAAACCGTCGCACCACGGTAAGGTCCAGTCTCTTCGTGACGACCTGGGGTGCGCGGACTACATTGTTCTGATTTTCGAAAAAGAGCGGAAGTGACGGTATTACTCGGTATTCTGGTCTTTCGGCATGTGCCTCACGCCCATAAAGTGGAAGTTCATGCCGCGAGACGCACAGTCTCTGAACATGCCTCTAAGAATTCAAGGAGTGACACTAGATGTTGTGGGACTCTATTCGTATCTCTGAGATGCATTGGCTCTGACGGTGGTGTGACAGACGAAGTCAGCGCACGAATCCCAAAGGCCAGATTTACGTTTGCCAATTGACACCACTTATGACTTCAAAAAGGACACAGCACTGGGTCTCCAAGGATGCCTGTATCGTAATGCAGTGCGAGATGTATTGTCGTGCAAGACTTTGTCACTTTGGGTGGAGATATCAGGTATCTGCAGGTCTTTCACCACCAGTGCCTCAGAACTGTTGCTGGAATCAGCGAGAGACAGCAAATTTGGAAAAGGGCTTTGGTAAGGCGGACATTACTTCACTCAGAGAATGCATCCAACACTGCAATCTAGTGTGGCTAGATCATGTTGCGCATGCCGACTTGCCTCCTGCTAAGGTGAAATTTGTGGCGAAAACCGGACGAGGACAGAATCTGACGCAGGTTTATGACTTGGTGTCGCTCGCCTTCCAGGAGGGGGTCCGTGTAACCCTCCTTGTGTTTGGCTGGAGACACTGAATGATATCGTGGCTAACCAATATCATGACGTTAATGCTACATTAGTTTCTATCCAGATTGACCGACTGAGTGTCGGAGATGTTTGTGGTGGGATAACTGTAGTTTTCTCTTTCTGCTCGGTTTTCTTTCCATTGAGATTTTATTCAGATAAATTGACATGTTTGCATGACTGCGAATCGTCATTGTTCTTATCTGGTGTTGCCGTCAGTGCCGATT